AAAATATTTGAGTTAAATAAATTAGATGGTTATTGTAGAAGAGTCAATTAGGTATGCTTTTCTCCTGATGGTAAGTAATTAGCTTCTTGTAGTGATGATAATTCGATTATATTGTGGGATGTTAAAACAGGAAAAATTAAGTCTAAAATCAAGGTAAAGGAAGAAGTAAAATCAGTATGCTTCTCTTCAAGTACTTTAGCTTTCAGCAGTGGAAGATTTGTATATTTATGGAATCTTAAAACAGGAAAATAAAAAGCCCAATTAGATGGTCATTCAAATGAAGTTAATTCAATTTGTTACTCTCCTGATGGTACTACATTAGCATCTGGTAGTAGTGATAAGTCTATCTGCTTATGGGATGTTAAGACAGGATAATAAAAAGCCAAATTAGATGGTCATTCAGATTGGGTTATGTCAATTTGTTACTCTCCTGATGGTACTACATTAGCATCTGGTAGTCTAGATCATTCTATCCATTCTACATTAGCATCTGGTAGTCGGGATAAGTCGATCCGTTTATGGGATGTTAAAACAGGAAAATAAAAAGCCCAATTAGATGGTCATTCAAATAAAGTTAGTTCAATTTGTTACTCTCCTGATGGTACTACATTAGCATCTGGTAGTAAAGATAAGTCTATTTGTTTATGGGATGTTAAGACAGGATAATAAAAAGCCAAATTAGATGGTCATTTAAGTAAAGTTACTTCAATTTGTTACTCTCCTGATGGTACTACATTAGCATCTGGTAGTGCAGATAAGTCGATCCGTTTATGGGATGTTAAAACAGGATAATAAAATGCCCAATTAGATGGTCATTCAAATGAAGTTAATTCAATTTGTTACTCTCCTGATGGTACTACATTAGCATCTGGTAGTTTTGCAGAAATTTGTTTATGGGATGTTAAAACAGGATAATAAAAAGCCCAATTAGGTCATTTAAGTGCAGTTACTTCAATTTGTTACTCTCCTGATGGTACTACTCTAGCATCTGGTAGTACAGATAAGTCTATCCGTTTATGGGATGTAAAGACAGGATAATAAAAAGCCAAATTAGATGGTCATTCACATTATGTTATGTCAATTTGTTACTCTCCTGATGGTACTACATTAGCATCTGGTAGTCTAGATCATTCTATCCATTTATGGGATGTTAAGACAGGATAATAAAAAGCCAAATTAGATGGTCATTTAAGTGCAGTTACTTCAATTTGTTACTCTCCTGATGGTACTACATTAGCATCTGGTAGT